CCCCCCCCCATATTTTGTTCCTCTTACCTTTTATACTAAGTTAAGGAATTCAGAACTGCAAGTACACACAAAAAAATACTCACGCCCAGTACATCCAGCAGCGTTCTAGGGATATGCTGCTCACCAGGTCTCACACCACCATCTTCTTCTCTGACATCAATGGAAAATTTCAGTCTCTTCTGGGCGGGTTCTTGCCCCCCTGCGTATGCTGCCAGGGGGCAGGCTGCAAGGGCCAGGAAGAGGCAGTCGGCCCTCCAATGACGTGTTTCGGTGCATGCACTGTAGAGTGCCCCGAGGCCTCCTGGGATGCATGAGTCAAATTATGAGAGTGGGGGTAGGATCGGAATGATGGAAAGTGGGTGGGTGGGGTGGGTGAAGGTCCACTTTAATTTCCTGCTGCTCATGTAGTCCATCCTAAGTCTGATGGGAAGCGCACTTCTGTGAGTGTTGATCTTCTGGCTCCCCTTCAGCTGTCACTGGTTCCTCCTGCTGACCACCATGTCACTGCTGAATTCTGGAATGGGTAAAGCTAAGGTGGAGGAAACAGTGAGGGCTGCAGGCAGCTCAGGAGATTGACTCTCCCGAAGCGTTGGTTTCCCTTCAGAGGTGTGTAGATTTTTTTTCTCAGGATCAGAGTGGCATTCAGGGACAAAAGCAGAATGAAAGGCAAGTATTTGCTCACTCACATTGCCTAAAGAAAGGGCCCTGTGTGGCTCCGAAACATTGCACTTTTGCATTCTTGAAATGATGATTGGACATCAATAAAAGTGATTTCCAATGAAGATACCTATGGTGTGCTAGTAACATGCCCCCCCCCTGCCACCCTTTTACACAGGCACTGCCCCTTTGCCCTAAATGGGAAAAGTGAGAGTGTCTTTTTAACTGCCTCCTTCATGCTATAATCACTTTCCCTTTATTCCCTCACCACCCTTTTCATGCTTTGTAGTGTAGAGAAGGAGTCCCGTGTAAGTTGCTCTGCTCGGAGCTTACACATGGCTAAGCACTCTCTCGCTGCCCCCACAAAGCAGCCCTAGGGCCTGGAGATTGGCCAATAAAGCACCCAGTACTGAATGTTGGAGGAAGGGTCGGGAGTTAGTACTGTAGAAAAGGTAGAGAGTCAGTCCTGGAAGAAGTGTACAGAATCAGTACTGGAAGAAGGGTACGGAATCAGTACTGGAAGAAGGGTACGGAATCAGTACTGGAAGAAGGGTACGGAATCAGTACTGGAAGAAGGGTACGGAATCAGTACTGGAAGAAGGGTACGGAATCAGTACTGGAAGAAGGGTACGGAATCAGTACTGGAAGAAGGGTACGGAATCAGTACTGGAAGAAAGGTAGTAAGTGGGTACTGGAAAAACGGCAAGGGAGTCAGTACTGGAAGAAGGGTAGAGAGTTAGTACTGTTTTTTTTTCTTTTCACTCCAGTAAGGGAAGAGAAGTATCTACAGCTGGGAGGACAAAGGTATATGTAAACCCGATCAGTGAGGTCTTCAAATGGGCATGGGGGGGAATGTGCATGCATTGAAGATATGTACTACATAGTTGTTGTTTTTTTTTTGCCTTGACGTACACTATAAGTAAACCTGTTGCTTTGTTCTACAGCGGCAAAGCACATGATCACTTTGGGTTTTTCTTTTTCTAGAGTTAACATGGTTTCATAAATATGCTTTAAAAAGCTGAAAGCTACAGTGTGGCTCTTTTCTCTTAGGGGCCTATTTCTAGTGGAGAGTAGATACCACTTTCTTCTTGACACTGCAGTGTTAACAACTCAGTTATAAAATTCTGCTTTGTGAAGCCTGCAGTGTCCCACTGAGTATTCTCTGTATTACACTTCGGAATAGCCTCTATGATTGGATGAGGAGGTCACATTACTTTGAAAGGGCACATGACCGGCTCTCTTTCTCCCATACTTTTTTTTTTCATTGGCATGAATGGAGCTGTCCTACAGTAGAGTCCCAAAACAAGCAGAAGCAGCGGTATGATCGTGATGAGGATATACCGCTGATTGAGCACCAATAAACGTGAATCATTTTAAATGTGTTGATTTGTAATCATTGTTTACAGTATGTTTAACACATTAAAAAGTTGTGATTAATGGATAAAAATGTTTTATTGCTTTTTTTCTTTTCTTATGCTAGTCTGCACGTGTGTGGTTCACAAGCGCTGCCACCAGCTGATCGTGACGGCCTGCACATGTGTGAACAACACAGCTAAAGTGGAAAAAAAGGTGACGTAAGATGCCCTGCTCTGGTCTCCACGACCACATCCTGTCTGTCAGTATCAGAATTATATTTTGAACTAAAAATCCCCATGTACCTATAGTTAGATACTTCTCATAGTGCTTAGTAATTTAGCTTTTTCCACTGTTGTATGCTCGCTGAAGGGGAAAGGTAATTGCTTCACTTGCCCATCTTTATAAAGATATTTTTTTCATCAATATTCATATTATTTTAGTTTCTGTGGTACCATATATTTGCTGCTAGGCCAATGACTGGAGAAAAAAGGTGTGCTGAAAGGAGGAGGAATTTTATCACATGACCAGTGTGGTATTGCGTGGCAATCCCATGATGGAATTTGGTAATAGCACACTAGTTAAAAGCTGAACTCCAGGTATGAATTACTTTGCATACTTACATTAGTCCAGCTTGGCCCAATGTAAGCACAGAATGTATATGTCACACCTGATCGACCGCTGGGATCTTGTAAAGCACGGTAGCAGCTGGAGAGACTACAGTGCTGGCTGTGTTCTCCTGGGTCCTGTATGACACTATGCTGAGCAGCTCCCCTTCTGCTGCGAAAATCACTCACTCAGCTCAGTGGCCATTCAGAGAAAGCCTAGCATTTTTATGAATAGATGCAAGACATTCCCTGATTGGATGAGGGATGGATTTTGATGTCACTTCCCTTCGTCCAATCAGAGAATGTCTTGTATTTATTGACAAAATTCTTAGGCGTTCCCTGAATGGCCTCTGTGCCGTGCGAGTGGCCCACTTTGTTTTCAGAGCAGAGGGGAAGTTGTTCAGCACAGCACCTGGAACATTGCAGACCGCAATGTAGTAGCTCTGACTACTACAGTGCTTTACAGGATCCCCAGCTGCATATCAGCTATAGCATATACATGCATACAATGGGCCAAGCTCGACCAGTGTAAGTACGCAAAATAATTATACCGGAAGTTCACCTTTTGGTTATGTGACAATTCTCTCCTCTTATCTGTGAATGTTCTCTGCAGTATTATGTGGAGAACACACTGCAGAACATCAGCAGATCCACTCCCACCCTGGATTCGTAAATACCACCACAGTGTGGAATATTTCCAGCATTGTCCTGCAGTGCGGAGAGTGGGGACAATGCAAGTTTTCATAAATAAGTCTCTCAGTATTCTAGTGTGATTATTTTATGTCTTCAGTTTAGATACAGATTGTGCTTAGCTGTAGTTTTTCCCTTTTATGTCACTTACATCTTCCTCTGACATTAGATATTTGAACAAAGATTTGGGATCAATTTACCACACAAGTTCCGCGATCACAATTACAAAGTGCCAACATTCTGCGACCACTGTGGATCTCTGCTATGGGGGTTGATGAAACAAGGACTACAGTGTAAAAGTAAGATACAGTGATAAGTTGTTTGAAAGATCGTTGTTTTTGGTAAAGTTATTGCAGAATGGTTAAGCCCTCGTTCACGCCTCTGCTGTTGCACATGGGTGAAAAATTGGCTGCAAGAACAGATCCAGAGGGTAGTAAGAAATGGTTAATTTTCAAATTGGGCAAAAGTTGTGAGCGGGGTGCCTCGGGGATCAGTCTTGGGACCGATCCTGTTTATCTTATTCATAAAGGACATAGAGATTGGTACAAATAGTTCAATCTCAGTTTTTGCGGATGATATCTAACTACACTGTGTGCACAATTATTAGGTTGTATTATAAATTGTATTTTTGAGGATTAATTTAATTATTGAACAACTACAGTGCTCTCGGTCAATCCAAAATGTTAATAAACCTCAAACCTGAATATTTAAGAAAGTAAAAGTGAGGTTTTGGCTTTCTTAGGCGAATGTCTCCGTGTAAACTATTTTTGGGCAACTATTAGTGTGCAGAATTATTATGCAACTAAATGGAAAACGATTATTTTCCCATATCACTTGTTTATTTTCATCTGTTAAAGTGAGAATAATAAACAAATAACTCAAAATGTACAAATAAACATTTCTGACATTTTCAAAAACAAAATCAGTGACCAATATAGCCGCCTTTCTTTTCAATAACAGTCATAGGCCTTCCATCCATGGAGTCTGTCAGTTTCTTGATCTGTTGATGATCAACTTTTTGTGCAGCAGCAACCACGGCCACCCAGACACTATTCAGAGGTGTACTGTTTTCCTTCACTGTAAATCTCCCGTTTAAGAAGGGCTCACAAGTTCTCAATAGGGTTTAGGTCAGGTCAGGAAGGGGGCCATGTCATTATTCTTTCATCTTTAAGGCCTTTACTGGCTAGCCAAGCAGTGGAGTACTTCGATGCATGCGATGACGCATTGTCCTGCATACATATCACAGTCTTCTTGAAAGATGCAGACTTTTTCCTGCTTGAAGAAAGTGTCTTCTAAAAACTGGCAGTAGGTTTGGGAGTTGATTTTGAGTCCATCTTCAACCCGAAAAGATCCAACTAGCTCATCTTTAATCATATCAGCCCCCCGAAGTAGAGCTCTGTGCCCGTTACTGATCCAGCCACTGGTCCATCCATCTGGTCCATCAAGAGTCGCCCTTATCTCATCAGTCCATAAAACTAGTGAAAAAATCTGTCTTCAGATATTTCAAGGCCCAGTCCTGACATTTCAACTTGTGTCATATTCAATGGTGGTCAGGTTTCAGCCTTTCTTACCTTGGCCATGTCTCTGAGCACTGAACATCTTGTACTTCTGGGCACTCCAGGTAGGTTGCAGTTCTGGAGTATGACAGCACTGGAGGATAAGGGGTTCCTGGGAGCTTCACACTTGATTCTTCTCAAATGTTTGGTAGTTAATTTGCGTCTTTCTTTTTCAACACATTTCTTACGACCCTGTTGACTATTTGCAACAAAGCGTTTGATGGTTCTGTGAACACGCCCCAATAGCTTAGCAATATCCAGAGTGCTGCATCCCTCTGAATGACCTTTTACAATTTTTGACTTTTCAGAGCCAGTTAAATATCTTTTTTGGCCCATTTTGCCTGAGGAAAAAAAGCTGCCTATTGATTATGCACACCTTGATATAGGGTGTTGGTCTCCTAAAGCACACCCTCCCTCATTACACAAATACACATCACCTGATTTGCTTTAATCCAATAAGCTTTCAAGTTTATACAGCTTGGAGTTGAACAATATGCATAAAATTGGTGATTTGGTCAAAATACTCACTTGCCTAATAATTGTGCACACAGTGTATGTTGGGCATTATATTCTCAAGAAGACTTAAAGGAGAACTATGAGATGAGTGATTTCCACTCACCTCATAGTTCTAGCCGACCTGTGACAATGAGACTGTCACAGGTCGGCTCAGTAGATCGGGAGGTGAGCGAACACATACCAGGTTCGCTCACCTCTCGATTATGTCACGGCTCTCTGCCGTGACAGGGGAGGGGCTGGATTCCCCTCTCCCCGCTCCGATCTGCCAGCGCTGACTGGCAGAACGGATGGGGGAGGGGGCGGGTACAGCTGGCTCTGCCTCTAGATAGGCAGATCCAGCTGTCACTCACGCAGCTGGGTGGATCCCAACGTCCAGGTCGGGATCCGCTCCGGCTGCGGCGTCTCAGTATACCGCGAGCTACAGCTACTGAGCTTCGGGAAATGGGAGGACGCTAGTTTGTGTCCTCCCGTTACCCTAAGGAGAACTATGGGGAAAAACACTGACCCCATAGTTCTCCTTTAAACGCGCTTCAACATTCAGTAACGTGGATGGGATGAAGATTGAATGGACTACAAGTTATTGTGACTTCACTGCACTTGTATTCTATTGAGAATTACAAGACCCTCTGCCGCGGTGGGTGGCTGATATGGCTTGCAGTTTCTCCATTCCCTGATCCTGTCAAAGCATCTGTGAATGGATGACACGGCTTTCCAGCATTCCCACATGCTAACTGACCAGGAGATTAGAGCCCCTGTGGACAGTGGCTGTTTTCACCCTTTAAACAGGTCCTGCTAGCAGGATACAGCCCTAGCCTCTGTTCTGTATTTTAATTTTTATGTTAGAGATTTTATGCCTTTTTGTCAATTAAAACTACTTTTGCTACGTCAGACCCGTGCCCTTCTTCTTTTCATATATAACCAATGCCATACAAAGTGAAAAGTGCCTATGCTCAGCATGCGTACAATAAAAAGTATCAGAGGTGGGGTAGAGAAGATGGCGTGAGGTAGAAGTACAGATAATGTCAAAAAAGGGTGAATGCAAAGATGCTCCATGTGTATCATGACCAAGCCACTGCATATGGAGTGACACAGTATCTGATGAAGTGGCTCAGCCATAATGAGCCACGCATGCAGCCATTTTTTTAGTTCTGGATAGGGTAATAAATGGTTTCAACCTGGTCACTTTATTTTGGCTGTGGCCAGTTAGCGAGATTTACCTGAATTATCTCTCAGAGACACAACAAGATGTGAGAGCAAAGTTCTCCAACGCGTGGGAAAGTTCCCTAATGGAGAGTTGCCCCCCATTTAAAAATAGTGGCATCTGTGCTGGAAACAATAGATTATGATTGCTCTGTCTTTAAGAAAATAATTTCAGACCCGGGTTGCATAACGGATAACATTGCAAATTACTTTCAGCGTTTCAGCCATGATTGCGGACTCTGGTCAGCAGTGTAATCATTGTCTGTTATGAAATGCAGTTGAGTGGCTGATCCCAAAGCTGCTTATTTGTTATTTTCATTGATTTAACTTTCAGTATCTCACAAAAGAAAAATTACCAGCCCAAATGCTCTTTCAATCACAATGGAATACAGTATAAACTGACAAGATTGCCAGCGGCACTTAGAAACGGGATTTTGTTTTTACAGAAGTTCTGACGTCAAATGGCAGGATTCAGTCAGTAATCATTAGGCACAATAAACCTAAGGACACAGGTTGATTATGCAATGAAATATATTTTTCTTTTGAATGCATGCCTGCCTCAAGAACTATCTATTAAAGAAGCACTCTGGGAAAATCAAAAAACATATAATTGTAGTGGGGCTACCCCCACACTGCAAGGGATAAGGGCTTGTTTTGTCTAGGGGGCTCATATAAAGCAGTTTTACTCACCTGATCCTTGGTCCTGCACCAGTCAGCGCTCACCTCTCTACCCCTCCACTCCAGCTATGGAATTCCTCACTTCTAATGCAAGTCAATGGAGTTGCATAAGACATGATGATGTCAGCAGTCCTTAGACCACCGGAGCCTGGGGGAGAAGAGGCTGCTGGGTCCAGTCTAACAGCCTGGAGGTAGCTGGTGGAACTGAGGATCAGGTGAGTATATCTGCTTTATTTGAGTCCTTTTAGACAAAACGAGCACTTAAAGTGACACTAAAATCAGGAGATAAATCTTAAAAATGCATTAGTTTGTGGAGCGGTGGCTACTTTACAACACACACAGGGACCATGGGGAACGAAAACAATCACCCTCCAGAAGGAAGGACAGTGTCAGCACCAATTCAAAGAAGATTTGAGGATCTACAGCAGAGTGATACACAAATAAGATACAATTATGTTAATAGTTAAGGTACTTGAATGCATTTTTAAGATTTAACTCCTAAGTTTAGTGTCACTTTAACCGTTGCAGTGCTGGGGGTAGGCCCATTGCAAGGGTATATTTTTTATTACCCTGGAGTTCTTCCTTAAAGTCCACCTCCACCCCATGTTATTTTCTTAGGTTTTGGGTAGAAGAAAGCAAAGATAGAACTGTTTAAATGCTGTCTGTGTCCCCATAGAGATTTATTTTCTCTTCCTGTTTTGTGTCAAATCGGCCACCTGCAGAGGAAGTGAGAGGAACACAGGCAGAGGTAGAAACCATCCCCACTTTACTAGGAGATGGGTTTTTGGTGCTACTGCAGTAATGGGTGTTCTGGTCCAGTCAAACGGTAGTTATTGCTTCAAATGCATTTAGGGACCTCTGTCAGAGAAGTCAAGTTTGAACTAGTTAAGTGGAATATGTAAAAGTTGTTTCTAGTTTTGTACAGGAGAACCTCTGTCATAGTTTTGTTGCCATTTGTAGCAGCATTATCTCTGAGGTTGGCAGTGAGGGGAAATATCCCAAATGGGAACATAGTAAACAAATCCAAGAAACGATTTAACTCTTATTATATCCAAAACAAAAAAGGTTTAGATGCCTTTAACCTTTCAAGGCCAACTCTGAGCAAAATGTTAAAACATAAAATGGTGCCCCAGCAGGAAGTTAAAATAAAAATGTAGCCCAGGCTGCAATAATTGCCTCCTCTCCAGAGCTGTCCCCCACAGTAATACCTTTTCACCACTAGATGCCCTCAGTCTTCTCTGGTGAATGATGGCCTGTGTCATTTATCTCAGGGGATCAAGGATACTCTGTAAGTGCAGGGCATCATGGACCTGAGGGGGCATCACCACATCGCCCTGCAATAATGTACAATGATACAAATCATCTTATAATTGGCACATTCTGTATCATTGAGAACGTCCCAACTCCCGGGGAAGAGAAAAAGAAGGCTGCATTTCAATAGGTAGAGAAGGAAATGCCTAGAGGCACCTCTTGCTGTTTAACTCCTCATTCACACTGGGTGTGTTGCTCTATACACTGTGAAGGGTCGTTTTTTGAAGCATGCAGGCAGCACATGTAAGTCTATGGAGACGCAGGAGCTGTGCGTCCGCACGCCCTGCGTTCTGCAGCTTCAAGCTTTAACAGCCACATACAGAAGGTGTACGGACCTGGATCCTTCATGTCTGCATCTGAAGCGGTACACCGTCTGTGCGCGGCTGTCAAAACCGGGAAGCAGCATGAAGGGCACACAGCTCCTGCATTAGTTGCTTGCACAACCAGCCCTTTACACTGTACAGAGCAGCATACTTCATGTGAATGAGGCCTAATAGATTCTCCAAACCCCATCTTCATGTTTAGCCTAGAGCTGACTCAATCAATAACCAAAGCAATTAAAGTGGACCCCCCCCCCAACACTGATAATTAACTGATGGCATGCATAAAAACTATTTAGCATAAATCTGATGGTTACTTGCTTTAGTAATCTAATTAATGCAAGATCCCATGGCTCTGTCCACCACACGTTACTTTAAATATTGACATCATCAGTGGCCGACTTCTACCTCGTTTTGTAGTCTGGCTCACCGACGCCAGATCTGTGTAGAGAAAAAATGAATTAACTTTTTCTTGAAATTCATGAGATTCATGAGATTTTGCGAGATCTGGCATTTTACCTATGGGAGCATTCCTGGAGGGCTTTAGTCTGTTTATATTCTTAAAATAACATTTTAAAAGTGTTTACTGCTCAGCATCCAGAGATGGAGGCATATGTGCTTTTTATGCTATGGGGGAAAAGGGTCTGTTTTAATAAAAGTACTTGAGAAGAAAATAAATCTGCATCCATACATTGCACATTGCATACATGTGTATTGTATAAATATGTAGGTTAAAGGTTTGTGTAAATTGTCCATAAAGGTCCCCACAAACCTTACGATAATCGCGGGAAATCCCGCGATCGTACGATTATCATAAGGTGTGAGGAAGCCGTGCGACCTCTACTACTGTAAGGTCGCACGACTTTAAACTTACGGACATGTTTGAAAACCCGCCGAGCATTGTACGATGTTCGGCGGGTTTGTGGCATGTCCGTACGTTAACAGCCGTACGGGCCGGTGTGCGCAAGCGCACACTGCCCGTTCGGCATTGCGGTCATCGGAAGCGCGCCCATGGCTTGCGATCATCGCAAGTACGATCTGCCTATGCAAGATAGGCAGATCGTAGGTTTTTTTAAGTACCTTACAACCATCGCAAGACAAAAGTCTTGCGATATTTGTAAGGTGTGTGCCCAGCCTTAAGCAGAGTTGCAGTAGATCTTGAACGCCTTTCACAGTTCTCTGATTTGGTCTCAGTGGTGGTTGATCAGATTTGTTTAATACCCTTTTCATCCTTTTCTCTCTGCAGTATGTAAAATGAATGTACACAAGCGCTGCGAGGCAAATGTGGCAAATAACTGTGGAGTGAACTCTGTGGAGCTGGCAAATGCCTTGGCGGGGATGGGTCTGCAGCCAGGAAACATCGCAGTCACACGGGTAAGGATATGGAGCAAAGGAGAGGCCTATATCTATCATGAGGGTGCTCGTATTCAGGGTGTACAAAAAGGGAATGCAGCTGCACCTAGGCCTGTCGCCCAGCTGATATTTTACTAGCCTGGTTGGTAAATAGGGAACTTATTGCCAATGGTATTAATGGGAAAAATACAGGTATTTTTTTCCCAGGAAGGGTGGCAACCCTATCTGTACCCCCAATAATAACTAGATGCTTGATTACATTATCTTACCTGCACTACAGAGAAGAACAGCATTAAACCTGGTTGCAATAGAAACCCGTTAAAGTGTGTGTTAACCCTAACAATTAACTTCTCTTCTTTTGCTTCTCTTTGGTCTGTTATATATATATAATTGAAAGTGTTTGGTTATAGCTGTTTGAGAAGTGCAAAAAATACCTGTTGATCATGTCAGAAAATCTGAGGGGTCCTGTTTGTCCTTCTCTGTTATCTGAAAAAGTTTAGTTAACCCTCCTAGTTCTTATCTTGGGACTGCAGCATGATTAGTGTCCATCATGTTGTAGAGATAAGGACAGTGGGAGGGTTTGAGTAGTTGGGAAAAGACACTAGGCAGGGCTGATACCACTCGGTTCACAATAATTCTGTGTGTTGTCTGTTTACAACAGGACTTCGGAGCCGAGTGCATTTCTGGCAGATCAACAGGTATATTTTTGTACTTGCTTGGTCTTTACAGGGATAAAACGTGAGGACGTGTGCGTGTATAGCAAAGGTGTAATGTGTGTGTATGTATAATAGATATATATTTTTAATTTTGGCCTGACATACACTTTAAGTGTCTGTGTAGATGGGCTTTGGGGATTGCATTTGACATCAATTTGTTGTAAAGCAGCCACCACTTCAAGATTGTTCCTGTGATGGACTACAATCTCAATACAAATGAGTAAACTAAATGTGAGATTGTAGTCCATCATGGGCGGAAGCTCGGAGCTACTTTACAACACACATTCCATGGGGAACAAAAGTAGCCACTCTGTACACACCTGCATGCATGCACAAATAAGATACATTTTTGTTAATAGGTGAAGGACTTGAATGTATTTCAAAGATTTAACTACTGAGTTTAGTGTCTCTTCAAGCTCCTGAATAGGAATGTTCTGATTTAGCTCCTATAAGCAAAACAGATGGTTTTTGTTTCAGTATGTGAATCCTAAACAGCTGGATAAACCTAATTTAGTAATATTCAAATGCTGCTCCTTTATATTCTTCATAAGTGACAATTTATACTTTCAGTTCATTTTGAGATTCAGCATGCATCTCAAAACATCCACAGGGTGGCAGACAAGGAGCATTTGTGTTTGTTTTTCTCTGTATCGCGGAATCAATGGAAGGACATTCCAGATCTTCAAGTCTGTTTATGAAGAGCTCAAAGTTCATGTTTTGCTCATTCCAGATCTCTTTCTTGCAGTTTGCTGAAGTTTTGCTTGACATAAACTGGAGTATAGATATTTAGGTCATAACCTACCATACACAGTAATGCATTAAAAAGTAATACATAGTAGTGCAGTTTATTAAATGTATTAAATATATAGGTTCATTATAGTTGGTAGCATTAAAACACAATTTCCAGCGTCATGAATCTGTAAATATTAGCCAGTAGAGCTGGAGTCTGGCTCAAACGGCTCCTCAACCCTCTACAATTCCTGTTATATTATAACCCTTTAGTTTGTATATTATTGTACCTAAACCACTGGACTTCAGTAAAAACATAGTGGGAATTTAGGAGTTTAATCTAACATTTACATTTATAATATACAGTTGGTTATTTAGGAACACAGAGGGCCCTCCTGGCAGACAAAATTCCTAGGAGCGGACCTGAATTCTGCATCCCAAATTTCAATGCTGACCCTCGACTTCAAACATCTAAATAATAGTACAGACCTCCAAAGCAGGCCCACTACCATTTTCGCCTCCAGTCAAGGGGCCTGGACAGCTATTAGTCTTTACAATGGGCTATACACATATGCAATGGTTACAGATAGTGCCGGTATGTCAGTGAGGCTAGGTTCACACCTAGGCGATTGAGCTGGTGAGCCGTTTTCGGGCTGTTGCCGTGAGTTTTTGTTTGCACGATTTTGCTTTGAAAACCGCTCGGTTTTCAATGCAAAGAGGTGTCTATGGGACCTAAATCGCACGACAGCTGCCCGAAAATAGCTCCTGCACCTTTTTTGCACGACAGGCGATTTCGACCGTGCGACAAATGGCAAAGGTATGAACAGCTTCCATAGACTTGAATGCAAATCTCTGTTTTGTGCGATATCGCTTGGCTAAATCCATGTGATAAATCACCTAGGTGTGAACCTAGACTGAGTGTTACCACAGCATTGCTTTAGGCAGTGAGAAGACCTGCTATCCAGCAATTTAAAGAGACTGAATTTTGGGGGGTTAAGGCGGGGGAGGGGTTTGGGGTGTAAGGGGATATTACTAAAAGCACACTTACCCTTTCAACTGAATTTCCCCCAATAAAGGTTAATTCCAGCGTTCGCTCCTCATTACACCCTCAACCCCCCACTTACTTGGATCATAGGATGAATCTCACCGCAGGCTTCTGTTTTCATTTGAATTCAGCTCTGCCTGCACAGCTGCACCATTCAATCACAGATCCATTTACCATGGTGATGTCATGGCACTTATAGTCCATTGATAAATTCCTCCAGCTTCATCCCTGAAGGTCCATACCACCGTACAGACCTGAGACTGGAGGAACAGTCTGCAGGAGCCTGTGCATTGCACCCTAGATCCACTGATCCCGGACGCAATGCTCTGCAGACTCAAATGGAAAATGTAAGGAATGTAATTTTTTTTTCTTTTTGCTAAAAGTGCGTTGACGCATCAAAAATAGAAAATGCATGTCAACCCAACTCCCAGCTGTCAGTTGCACCATTTAACACAATGGCTAACCTGTATACATGCATTGACATGCATTCAAATGCATAGGTGTGAAGGGGCCTTTACAGTTGGGGACACTTATTAATGATGGGTGGAAGTGATCCATTGGGCTTTTGTTACTTTCCCCTATTCTGTGTTCTTTCTGTGGGTCTTTTAAAGCTTCCACATTCACAAAACATCTGTCAAAGAGTTGCGGTACATCATAGTTGTGAGTATGATATCACATAGCTCGGATTGCATATTTAAAAGGCAGAATCCCAGGCAAATGACCCCTCCTGACTGCTCTTATGTCACGCAACATATTTATAAAGCGTTGGCTCCAAGTATTAAGGTAACAAATGTAATTACTGCCTTTTTTGCAGCATATAAGTAATCTGACTTGTTCTCTTTACAGTGTTCAGATGGCAGCCCAATACAATCAGAAATTGGTTCTGAGGAAGATGCGCTTTCCAACATGTCGCAGTACAAATTTGGAATTGAGGATTTCAGCCTCATTAGTGTGCTGGGAAAAGGCAGTTTTGGAAAGGTAAGGTTGGTACCTACATTTATATACATTGCAACAGACCATACTTGGCCTCATTTATGGCTTTTAATAAATAGATTCTTACATTCCTTGTTCTAGTGCCGCACAGCCAAGCTAAGGAAAGAATAAGGTTGCTATAAGCAACAAGAACAATTCTGTATAGGAGTTGTAAAGTCCCAGCAAATCCTGTCCCATTTATAATATCAGCAATATCGTAGGAATGCATACTATACTTGATTTTGATAATACAATCAAAGCTTACTTAAAAAAAATCCCTTTTATGGAGTGAGCGCTGCCTTCCATCTGTCCATCACTTTCACCAACTTCCTGGGTTCCTAGTGTGCTGGGCTGCAATCTCCATTTCCCAAGACTACATATCCCACCATGCATTGCTTCCAGCAAGCAATGATAATGTTACATTGTTCAGACGTTGAGTTGTAGTTCAGAAGGCCGGTTCTGTGAGAGTGATGACACAAGGAAAGACACAGGGCAGAGTAAAATCGTGTCAGTGCATTGAGGAAGTACATCCTATGCGCATCTTCAGTATGTAAGTGTACAAACTTTTAGATCGATATGGTTATTAGGAGTGGGGTGGAACTTGTGGACATTCAGAATAGAAATGCAGATTTCATTTTTAGTTTTTGACCTTGAATACTTTTTAAAGATTTTTAAAGCAAGAAACATTTTAAGATATTCATCTCAATTTACAAAGCTTTGGCACAAGAAGAAGGCTATTTATTTCAGCCATGTGACTGTAAATTTCAATGCACGATTGGTACAAGGTATTCATGACCTATTATCATCATCCCCACCATCTTTAATTATCAAATATCATTGGGCTAAAAATAACGCTTTAAACAAAAATAGGGGTCACTATCCGGATGTGTTTCCTTTGTGAATAAAGCTGGTTCACTGAAACGTATACAATCGCTGAGACAAATCATCCCGTTATATCAGGGGTAGGCAACCTCGGCACTCCCAGCTGTGGACCTACAAGTTCCATGAGGCATTGCTGGACACTGACAGCCACAGGCATGACTCCCAGAGGGAGATGTGATTTGTAGTTTCACATCCGGAGGGCCTAGGTTGTCTACCCTTACATTTTATCAGTATGTCAAGTCCTCATGCTATAATTTGTAGGGTAGCGTCATGTCACGGACACCCAGTGCCGTTTTTCCGTTCAGATATTTAGTAGGAACTTTTATTTTTTTAAGTTTTTGGTGTAGCAGCTGTCACATGTTTAGAGTTCTGAAATATGACATTGTTCCAGTGAAAGAAATATCTTCCTGTATAAAGAGGTACAGAGAATTCTGTCTGTATGGCAGGATTTAGTTTTATGCTGATTTATGGAAACTGGGCCGAAGGCTTTTTACCTATAGCAGTTAATCAGATCGTTCCATTTCCGAAGCTCGTTTGGACTGTTTTGAACATCAGTTTCAGTATTGCTCTGGTTTCTATACATCAGCCCGGCATTGGTGGAACAATCTGTTATAGGCACAAGGAAACTTTCTCTTCCCCCTCCTTGATTTTATTAGCTGGTTGCAGTTCTCCTTCCAATTGCAAGAAACGTGCCACATCCTCCTCTACTGCATAGCATTTACTGTATGATATAATTAAGTAGCAGATTGCAACATTTACTTTTTATCCTGTTCTTCATTTACTCTAAAATGGAAGTGACACTAAACTTAGGACTTAAATCCTAAAAATACATTCAAGTACCTTAACTATTAACACAAATGTATCTTACTTTTGTATCACTCGGCTGTAGATCGTCAAATCATCTCTGAATTGGTGCTGACACTGTCCTTCCTTCTGGAGGGGGGCTACTTTTGTTCCCCATGGTCCATGTGTGTGTTGTAAAGTAGTCACCGCTCCAAGCTCACTCCCGTGATGCACTACAATCTCATGTTTATTTTACTAATTTGTATTGAGATTGTAGTCCACTGGATGAGCTTGGAGCGGTGACTACTTTACAACACACACATGGACCATGGGGAACAAAAGTAGCCCCCCTCCAGAAGGAAGGACAGTGTCAGCACCAATTCAGAGATGATTTGACGATCTACAGCCGAGTGATACACAAATAAGATACATTTTTGTTAATAGTTCAGGTGTTTGAATAGATTTTTAGGGTTCAACCCCTGAGTTTAATGTCACTTGAAAGCAGTGGCGTTTATCAGTAAATATGATTTTTTTTTAATGAATTTGGATGAAGGTGTTTTGTTCTCACTGGGCCCATCTGCACAGCTGCTTAAAGCTCATGAAACGTGCGCTGCATTCAGCTCTGTAAAAAAAAAAGAGAAAGCAATTTCTGCGTGTATGCACCTATGCATCTGTAAACGCATGTTCATATCAATTTGAGCTACAGAAATGGATGACGAATTTTGTGGATCTGTTTTTATCTGTCTAAACACATTAACAGAAGCATTTTACTGACCATTAGAGGAGTTTTTTCCTTCTGCGCATTCAGGGACACAGCAGAGATTTTTCGATCTTGACCATTGGCGATCTTTATGCAAAGACATACAGGCAACAGAAAGAAATCTGCAATGGCAGCCCAGTGGGGCCAGACTGATATAACTGGTTATAAAGTGTTGTGGAGTATGTTGGTACTACACCATTACCAGTTTCCATGTTTATGTAACACAGACATTACACAGCGCGTCACAAATCTTATAGAACCATTGAGATCAGTCCCTGCCCTTAAACCAGAACTCTGGGGAAAACTATTATTAAACTTGCAGTGTGGCTACCCCCGCACTGCAAGGGTTAAGTGCTCGTGTTCGTCTAGGGAATGTCCCTTGTTGTCCTCACGTCCTATACACCGTGGGGGGAATTTATCAAAACTGGAGCAGACAAAATCTGGAGCAGCTGTGCATGGCAACCAATCAGCTTCTCTCCTCAGTTCAGATTTGAAAATGAATGAGAGTGGCGGATTGGTTGCCATGAACAGCTTCTCCAGATTTTGTCTGCTCCAGTTTTGATCAATTCCCCTCTGTGTAAAGAGTGTGATGATTTACAGGACCTTAGAATGCTGGGACAGAGGGGCTCCAGGGACTGGTCTAAGAACAAGCTGGTTCCAAGGATCAGGCTAGTATAACTTTATCCCCCCCTAGACACAAACGAGCAGTTATCCCTTGCAGTGCAGAGGTAGCCCCAATGAAAGGGTTAATATTTTCCCCGGAGTTGTTTTTTAAATTAACTTACATTGCATTACCTCTAAAAGTAAGACAGGTACTCGCATACACATTCCAGGGCCAGTGTGGTGAAGCATCAAGTAACCTGCCAGCATGTTTTCAGGTTATAGGAGGAAACCAATCAACAAATCAACACATGGAGATCATACCAGCTCTATGGAAACAGTCACTAGAGTGTTGACCCCATTCATGCTGCAAAGAAGTGGTGCTAACCGCATAATTGTGGTGCTGGCTTCACTAAATGCAACAAAACAAATGGTGTGTAAAAGCAGATTTAACAGCCAATCTGATATAATTGAGGTCAAAAGCAACGCCTTGGCAGCTGAAGGCGCATTCCGTTCATCGGTTCATTGGCTGGATTTCATGCTGTAAATCCTGTCTGACAAGTTTTTTCTCAGGTATGACCTTTCACTCTGTAGAACTTGCTAGGAGTGCATCTCCGTACTTTGAAGTGATTCTTAAACATGGGCAGCTGAACACAAGTCAAACATATCTTAACCTTTCAGAGAAAAATATATCTGATTGGGTGATTTAGCTCTTTTTTTCAGACTAAAGGTTCTTAGCCCCGAGCAAATAAGTCGGCCTCACAACGGGATTATGCAGCATCAACAGAACATTTTCAGTTATTTACAGATTATATTTAAATGATCCAGTCTGTATAATCTGCCAATATATGCCTAACTGGTGAGACCATGAATGGACTGATACCTGATCAATATTAGTAGATGACGGTTAACCATGACTCTTACAAGGCATACACGTGACCTTCAAAAGGGGGGCACTCAGTGTGCATTTTTGTGTGCAAACGGAGTGCCCCCCAAAAGCTGAGTTTGAAGGAATGATTCGGCACATGTGGTGAGTGAAGCCTGGCCTGTGTAGTCCGATCCCATAGATGAACTACTGTAGGTCTAATTGCTGAAAAGTTAGTGCTGGTTCCGAGAGAGACGTTTCTGAACACACAGTGCATCGTAGTTTGTTGTGGTCACGGTTTAGGTTGCCAATGCTGGCCCATGTCCACTACCAAAAGCACCTACAATTGGCATGTGAGCATCAGAACTGGACCATGGAGCTTTGGAAGAAGGTGGCCTGGTCTGATGAATCATGTTTACTTTTACATCATGTACGTGTTCGGGTGTGTGCGTGTCATATACCTGAGGAAGAGATGGCACCAGGATATACTATGGTAAAAAGGCAAGCCGGTGGAGGCAGTGTGATGCTTTGGGCAATGTTCTGATGGGAAACCTTGGGTCCTGCCATTCATGTAGATGCTATTTTGACATATACCACCTACCTTAACATTGTTGCAGACCAAATACACCCCTTCATGGAAATGGTATTCCCTGATGTCAGTGGCCTCTTTCAGCAGGATAATGTGCCCTGCCACACTGCAAAAAAATGGTTCAAGAATGGTTTGAGGAACACAACAACCAGTTCAAGTTGTTAACTTAGCCTCCAAATTCTCCATATTTCAATTCAATCAAGCATCTGTGGGATGTGCTAGAAAAACACCTCACAACTAGTGATGGGCTCGGCACGTGGAGCTGCGAACACACCCGAGCCTATCCCTACTCACAACCTACAGGACTTAAAGGATCTGCTACTGATGGCTTGGTGCCAGATACCACAGCATACCTTCAGAGGTCTAGTGGAGTCCATGCCTCAATGAATCAGGGCTGTTTTGGCGGCAATAGGGGAACCTACTCATATTAGGCTGGTAGTCATAATATTATGGCTGGTCATTGTATATGAACTATTTAAAAAAAACATAAATGACCATTAACAAGTCAGTCGGATGCATTGACCAGCTGCAGATTGTGACATGATTAATCCAGTTCTACTTTTATTATCACTGAGGCCTTGTTAACATGTGTGGCAGTGCCATTTATTGTTAACGACATCCCAACACACCCAAACCCAGCTGCACCATGTGCTTTCACATCCATAAAATTGCAACAAATTTTATAGTAACAACGTACCATTGCACATTTTGAAAAACGGGAATGAATGGGCTTGGCTTCCTTTTACAGGACGCACAATTGTGAACTGGGGCTGAAAACTGCAGTTCCTGATGAAACCTTCTCTGCAAATCCTAATAGAATGTATAATGTGCAGTCAGTTTGCCAGTCTCATCTGTAACTAATGAGATATTATGCAGGCTATGTTCTGTCTACAAACATATACTCCCTTTTACAAATTACAGAATCTGTGCAAACATCATTATCCTCCTCTGTTTATTCTTTATAGATGGTTCGCTGTTCTTGACAAAATGCTCTTGTTATTAATGCCTTGATTCATGCTCACTTATTAGAGGTACCGGTATATGAGTCAATGCTTGGGTTCTTTAAACAGAAAATTCCTATTTGCCAACCACTGCTGTCACAGGCTTAGAGTCAACCCGTGATTTGTCCACAAAGGTCAAATCAACAACTTCAATTTAAAGCCCCCCTTCCTAGCTGCATATACTCGACTTTCCATTGACGGACAGAACACATTTCACAAATGCACAGCAGCTGTAAAACACTAACTCATATCAAGAACCTGCACATTAAAAGTTATTTTATTAAAATAAACTTTATTGCAGACATGCAGCACTTCCTTCACTATCGATTTTGTGCTTTGCCTATTCAAGGGAAAACATGTTTGCTTTGAATTCCCTACCTGCAGCATACAGTTACCTTTTTTTTTGCAAACCGCGGTATCTCTGGGTTTGGAGTGGCATGTGGCTTACTCCATGTGACAGTATTGGGCCGATCAGGAAGGAAATGATAAACACATGGTGAAAACTGCATGTTAAAACTGTAGATCTATAGATGAGGGAGAAGGTATGTGCAAATCTTGACTTTACCTGTAAATGTTGAGCTTGGCCATCCCCATTGATAGGTCAGTGAGGCTGTTCATCACATAAACAAGCCAATAACAAGGTTTGGGAGGCCGGGTTAAAGGCACAATTAGCAAGCACAGTCAAGATTTACAAACCGCTTCAGGGGTCTGTATCTGTAGGCCTACAGATCATTTTGACATGAAGTCTTTACTGAAGGTGACCTAAATTATTTCACAATAAATAAAGGTTTCATGTAAAACACATACAAAAGATGTATTCACTCTTTTTATATTTACTATTGAATTAAATTATTGACAGAGAAAATGTGACTGTAAAACTCTTTGATCCGCAGGTCATGCTTGCGAAGTCTCGGGATGGGGATAACCTGTACGCAGTAAAGGTGTTAAAAAAGGATGTGATTCTTCAGGACGATGATGTTGAATGCACCATGACGGAAAAACGCATCCTGTCTCTGGCGTCCAACCATCCATTCCTAACACAGCTCTTCTGCTGCTTCCAGACTCCGGTGAGAGCCTTCATTATGTATACAGCTGAACACTGATTCAAGGAGCATTATATATAATATAAATGTGTGCTTACTTAAAGCACAACTCTGGGAGTTTTATATTTTGTGCTTTGTATGCAACGGGGAAGTTTTAGAACCTTTATCTAAATTTTAATGGCAACGTTGTCCCCATTGGAGAGATTTCTCCTTGCTGCTTGTAAGTCTGATGGGTGTCAGACGTGTTTGAGTCCTAGCCTGTTGTGACCACCAGTGGGCACTGTTGCATAAGAATCAATTTAACGTTTTATGCTGAGTGTAATAATCACCAGCTCCCGTCTACTACACAGTATACAAAGCTGGAAATTCTAAAGGGTTTAAGGAACCATAAAACTGGCCATACACTTTTTTCATTCAGGGATTTTTGTTGCTGCCAGGAACCCTCTTTCGATTCTAGCTCAAATAGCCCATCATGCACAGACCACTGTCGTTTTGATAATCGTTGGTTAGCAATACTAACTCGCCGAATTACGTCGACCGACAGAACGGATTTTCATTAACGCGTGTGCAGTGTTCATGTTACGAAAACGTCACTAATCCATCGATTTCCGTTTGATTCAAAAAAGTTTTCCAGCCAGGCTGATCGAGGAAATTCGGCCTGGAGTACAGTAAAAAAAAAAAGAAAAAAATTTGCCTGGAGTACAGTAAAAAAAAAAAAAAAAATCAATGGATTCCCATCAACTGATCGATTATCGTTCGAAAGACCATTTCGTGGGCGATTTCCGAACGATAAATTGATAGGTGTATGGGCACCTTTACATTCCCTACGCATGTTACAAACTGATCACCTCTCATTAAGAAATATAGAAGGGCTTTAAAACTCCACTATACCTTTTTGAGATACATATTGTACTGAATTGTAGTAAATACTATTTATAAAATATTCTACTTAACTGTTTAATTCTATTATACAGTCTTTTGATGACTGAATTTAGGCCTTTGGGATTTTTTTTCTATTGGAGTCTGCCTTAATCTTAAGGTAGGGTTTATCCTGAAGATGGCTTCAGTCAGGTTAATTGTTAGATGCTGGCGCTCTTTTAAAGTCCAGGCACGCCAGATTCCGTAAATCAATGTCAGTCTATTCAGAAACAAAAAGAGATGCACTAAGCTCATACTGCAGCTTACAGCCCAACACAAACATGCTGAAATATTATGCAATTCAGGATATTCTCAAATTGCAGCTAAGCCCAAATGACCTCTTTTGCTTTTAGTAAATTTAAAGTTGCCGCTAGTTATTTACAGTGTGTGTGTGTATGTATGCATTTATGTATGTATGTGTGTGTGTATATTCATTTCTCCTTTGCAGCTTCAATTCTCACCCTAAGTACAGCACACTTATTGTAACGTTCTATGTCTGTCCAGGTCTTTGAACAATTCTGTTAATAACCCTTTATTTAAGGCGGTTGTGATACTGAACAACATTTTTTTTTTTGGCATGCTCTCCGGAGTCAACAGTGTATGATTTTCTGGAAATAGTTGATTAGTGACCTCGTTAGTTACCTTGCTTCTCTGCTCGAATCCCGCCTGAGAATCCAAAACTGCTCGTGTGGCCGCAATATGTCGGGATCCGCTCCGGCGTCTCAGTATACCGCGAGCTGTGGCTCGTGGTATACTGAGCTTAGGGTAACGGAAGGATGCTAGTTTGTGTCCTCCCGTTACCCTAAGGAGAACTATGGGGAAAAGCCCTGACCCCATAGTTCTCCTTTAAGGTAACATTAACATGGGGGTAGGGGAAAATGTTTTTGACTTTAATGCCACTTTAATATTTAATATTCAAATTGGTATAATATAATTATTGCTATAATACAGCAAGAAGTAATGACACTGAATACTGAGACATTTTTAAAATAAAACCAAACTAAACTGGGTACATTTAGTCCAAGTATGTCTTGCATTATTTTGTCTTTACATGTCTCTCCCCTTCCCGGTTATACACATTTTTCTGGTCCCCTGGTTGATTTTATATCCAAGGAGCATATGCCTGCAGAACATACTGATGCCAGAATCTTCTTATGTGAGTAGAACTGCCAGAAATGCACAATGCAGTTCACATCAGCCACATGAGGAATAGCATTCACGGAGAAAAAAAATACATTAAAGTGTATGTAAACCCTAACGATGAGCTTCTCATATCTGATAAAGAAGATTGTCTGTAGGGACTTTAAGTTTAGAGTCCATCAGTGTATTATTCATTGCTTACGCTCTGATAAAGGGGGATTCCTGAACCCCAAATGTGTTGGCTGTGCATATCTTCTAGTTGCCATTCGTGAAGCCAATAAAGATTTTTTTTAGACTTTTGAGACGATTATCTGGTACTCCTTTTTTAGTCTTGATTCACGTGGGCTGCTCGTTCTGAGTGTCCCCTCCCTCTGAAGGGCCCCTTGCTTTTTTTAAAAGCTGCCAGAACCGAGCCATCAGGCCCAATTATTGCTCCTACTTGACTAAGAGAAAATTTGTGGTCCAGCACCTCACCCCCACTCACCCTTGGAAGCTTCAAAATATGACATTTTTGCTTTTTGGATTTAAAGCCACGTTCATAACTAACCTTCAGTTCAAGTGTTTAAGGTCCTTGACATTGTCTGTGTTTCTTCTGGCTTGTAAAGAAGGAGCTCACTTTTAAGAAGAGCTTGGCGCTGTTGCTTGTCAACAGTTGAGCCAAAACACGTTTGACAAGAGGGCCTGAGATAGTGTTCAGTAAATAATAGCCCAGGTCCCTGCCCTACACTACTAATTGCATGAAATCTATACTGGGTAACTGTAAACCGTAAGCTCTGTGGCCATTGCCTGGTGACAAGTGTCATATTTCTGCAGACTTATGTGCAGCGTCGATCAGCAGTGTCCCGAGGTTGTTACTGACAGCTAAAGCATGTGACTCCAGGCTAATGTGCAGATATGCAAGGAGATTTGGGAAGGGGGTCTTTCAGGTCATGTGCTGGGAATGCCACAAAAGTCAACCTTGTAACCCTTCAGTACTTAGAGTTTTCAGCAAGTTGACCATCCGTGTATTATTCCTATTGATCAGCTGTGGAGGTGTTCTAAGATCATGCAAAACACACTTACAGTATGTATTTATAGTCTAGTGACACTGATATCATCCATCTTATGTACAGGGGGATTAAGCTGCTTGCTATACCATAAGAAAATATATTGCTTTAAAGTTTTCTTGTTGGCCAATGTGTCCTAAAACACAGATAACTCTATTTTTGCATTGATAGAGATTGATAAAGGTTACTGTCTAATTCTTGATAAAATGCTTTTTTTAAATTTTGGATAGTGTTCAGAGTTAAAAAAAAATTGTCAGGTTTTTATTTATGTGTGTGACCTCTATTGGGAGATTTTTCCTAATTTAATGTTCCTGTGACACCAGAACATAAAATGGTGGGAGAAATCATCACCAAGACAAGAAGGCACAAGCAGCCATAAAAAATGCTCAGTTTCTAACTCTTCCCCGCACAGTCTCCATTTCCTCACTCTATACAAAACCAAATTATACATTTGTGCCTGCAGTTGGACTTTTTAGTTCTTGCACTGTCGAGCAAGGTCTGCCTGATGAATCAGTGCCCCCTCTCTCATAAAATCAAAGCATTATGGGCTCATGCACATGGGTGCATTGGAGCATATAACATATGCATCCAATTTACCCAAGCACATGAGCAGAAATGCTTTTTTTCTGCTACTGGAAAGCTCAGCTGGTGCCCATAGACATGAATGGCTGTGTGTGGCTATACTTGCCTTTTTTGTAGACTTTCTGTATTCGGGAGAATACGTCCGTATGCTATACTTGGAATTTAGCGAGTAACCGCATATACACTTCAGGCTGGATAGTGATGTCAGAAGCCATGGGTAAGGTATGTATATGTTTGCTACATTTTCCTCCCTACAGACTTTTAAAAAATGCTTAAGCCACTTTTTATGATGTTGAGGGGGAGTTTTAGTGCAGGGCCCACTTTAGAGAATAACTACACTTCCCAAATAAACCGCCTTGAGTAAAATATATTGTTTAAGGGCAGCTGTAATGATTCAGAGTATGTTTGTTTTTTTATTCTAATTTTAGTTTTAAAAGTAGTTTTTTCCCTTTATATCATCCCTTAAGTAAGTGTGTTCCAAGGCAGCTTAGCTCTTAGTATGCACCACCCAACGTTTAGCTCTGCATGGTAATTGCCAATAAGCACAATATTTCAATTAAAGGGACCCTTTTGCTATAAAAAGAGGCAGGCAAATACTTACCTCTCCCAAGAGAAAGAGGAATCCTCTCCAAAAGTCTTTTTGTAAATTGACTCTTTCATTATTGCACAGTGGTTCCTCCTGCACACTCCTACATCATTGACATCCTGTATTAAAGTAGGGGTCAGCAGGGGGGACCTGTGAGTGGAGCGTGGGACGCAGGAGTTTGACCATCCTGACGTGCCGTGTCTTTTTTATTCAAAGGAATGTTGGGGAGAATACAGTGATTATCAGAGAAGCGTTTGGTGCCACATGTAGAGAGAGAGAGAGGCAACGCTCTTCTTTATTGTTACCCTGTCACATGTGCTTCCAGTGGAGACTATAACCAACCATGCTGACACACTGCAAAGTCATATTCTGCCATTGTCACCATCAGGAAACCCATCAGAGATCGAATAGCATCAGAGATCAAAAAAGGTAAAAGAGAAGGAAAAAAAAAACAAAGTGTTGGTTTGGTACACATTCTATTAACAAGCTAATTACCATCCAGTTAGGGTTTATATCTACCCTTAAAGGAGAACTATGGGGTTCGGGCTTTTCCCCATAATTCTCCTTTGGGTAACGGGAGAACACAAACTAGCGTCCTCCCGTCACCCTAAGCTCAGTATACCGCGAGCTACAGCTCGCGGTATACTGAGACACCGCAGCTGAAGCGGATCCTGACAATTTTATGTCTGGACCCGCACAGCTGCGTGACTGACAGCTGGCTCTGCCCATCTAGAGGCAGAGCCAGCTGTACCCGCCCCCTCCCCCGTCCGTTTCGCCAGTCAGCGCTGGAGGATCGGAGCGGGGAGGGGGGAATCCAGCCACTCCCCTGTCACGGCAGAGAGCTGTGACAGGATCGAGAAGTGAGCGAACGCCGGTATGTGTTCGCTCACCTCCCGATCTACTGAGCCGACCTGTGACAGTTTCATTGTCACAGGTCAGCTAGAACTATGAGGTGAGTGAAAAGCACTCAAGATAACACACAAGGAGTTCATATGAGCAAATCTACTCTACAGAGAAGTTTATAATTTCCTGCTTATTCATTTGATTTTATGCTGCATGCATCATACAGATGATGCAATGTTCATGAAGCCAAAGTACAGTGTCTGGACTGCATAACACTAAGTATATGGAACCAACAAGGGATCAGCCCAAGAAAAAATGTGTCTAAATGTAGGCCAACCTCTTTGCTATGAAGCCCAAGACCAATTTCCCACGACTTCTTTTTTTTAAACTGTAATCTCATATCGCCCCCAACATCTAACAATTAGAAGGTGAGACCTTGAATCTCTTTCCCCTTAAAACTGCCCCAAATTTTCCCTATTTACACAAAACCCTGCTTTCGGTAAAGTGTATCTATAGCGAAACGTTTTTTGTTTTGTATATAGTGGGCAGGTATTCGATCCCCTATCGGCAAAAAACCTCTGGTTCTGATGAAGGAGGCGTGCCCCTGAAACCCATAGACCTTTAGAACTCAAGGGGGCAGAGGACGCTGATGTGCTGTACTCCTTCAGACTTCCGCTGCTAGAGATTTTATACTTCATCACCATTTGTATGCTTTTAACCACCGACTTTCCTGTAAGTACATTTTTATTTGCGTGTTGTACAAATAAATTACACTTTTACACTATGGAGGCGCTCTGTCTTGTCCCTTGTTTCCTAGATCGATGGTCTTTTTATATATATATATATATATATATATACACACACACACATCTTTATAGCTGGAGTTCAGCTTTTATCACAAAAGGTAAAAAACTGTTGCTGTAACTGCTTTAAAAAGTTTTAGCTGGAGTTCATATTGAATTTGTTTGCAAAGTCCACCTAAATCTGAAGTGCATGGGAGAATACAGTCCCCACAAGCTGACAATGCTGCTCAAGGGTGGCTCCATTGCTCTTTCCTAGAGTGGAGCCACCCTAAGACAGGAAGAGTGTTACTGATCATCAGGTGAAAATAAAGGGAAGAAAGCCTTAAAATTAAATCTAGTGCAGCCATCACATTTAGGGACTGGTGAGCTGCAATATATTCAATTCTTATTTTTGGGTTTAGATATTCTTCAGTTTGCTTATTAGAATCCCCTGGGAATTGGGTTACCACTGACAATCATGGAGACATCTGACAGTATGTGGAGGCATCTCTGAGTGGCTTCAGTTTATTCTTAAAGCTGGCTTTGTAATTTTTAGTATGGTATACCGCGTATGTATACTTGAGCTGTGCTGTGTTTTGAAGTGTATAGGTCCTGGGTGTAGGAAATAAATAGATGTTCTGTGTTCCAGAGCAGTGGTTTGGAATGTGAAAAGTATTTTACTCCTCTATCTTGTGATAGAGCTCTCTCCCACTGTGCTAGCAGTAAAAGGCAACGGCATGAACCCTTGTCAGGTCAGGTGACATTTAGTGCTTGTATTTCATACTGTACATGTCTCACATTGTTTGCTGCAAGTGCAGGGGACAAGAGAATACATTTATAGACCCTCGTAAGTTGTGCTTTTAAGGGAAAATTCTGAGCGCTGGTCAGTGTAGGGTGAGGTGACCTCAAGCCCAGTGTCACCAGTTTACAGACCAAGTGATTCTTTTACTTTCTATGCCTTAAAGCGATGAATATTAAAACGGAAGTAGCTTTTTTTTCTTAAAAAATAAATAAATAAAAGATTTAATGGGCAGGGAGTCAAATCTTCCCTCTCTTGAAGAGTTTCAGGTGATCAGAAACATCTAGGTATGTCAGATACATGGTCTCCCACTGGGTGCTTTGGGTCTGGGTATGTGAGATACATGGTCTCCCACTGGGTGATCGGGTTTCAGGTATGTCAGATACATGGTCTCCCACTGGGTGCTTTGGGTTCAGGTATGTCGGATGCATGGTCTCCCATTGGGTGCTCTGGTTTCAGGTATGTCGAATACATGGTCTCCCACTGGGTGCTTTGGGTCCGGGTATGTCAGATACATGGTCTCCCACTGGGTGCTTTGGGTCCGGGTATGTCAGATACATGGTCTCCCACTGGGTGCTGTGGTTCCGGGTATGTCACAAACATGGCCTTCCACTGGGTGCTCAGGTTTCAGGTATGTGAGATACACAGTCTCCCCCTCTGTTTGCTCTGGTTATGGTATCTCAGATACATGGTCATGGTATGTCAGATACATGATCTACCGCTGTTTGCTCTGATTCTAGGTATGTTGGATACATGGTCTGTCACTGGGTTCTGTGGTTCCGGTATGTCGGATACATGGTCTCCCTTTGGGGTGCCCTGGTTCGGAGTATGACCTATACATGGTCCCTCCTACTGGGTGTTTTGGTATGTCACATACAGTACATGGTCTCCCACTGGGTGCTCTGGTTCACAGTATGTTGGATACATGGTCTCCCACTGGGTACTGTGCTTTCTCCTGCTGGCCACTACATTGTTGCTGTGTCCTGTAGTGACAAAGCAACCAGCGGGAGGAACCATGGAAAAGTTCAGGAAATATGTTATTGCCAGGATCACTAGGTGAAAGTAAAGGAAGGGGGAAAACATCCTGAACAAGTAAAGCTAAAGCAGACCAAAAGTAGGCAGGAAATACTAATAAGACTGTTACTTTTCTGGCCATTTCCCATAAGTGATAAGAACTTGAAGCTATTGTTGTTTGTACGCATTCCGAGACGATTACTATGTTGACACCTAGCATGGCCAAACGTACAAATTAGCCAGTAAAAATGACTCATTATACTATAAAATATAGTCTGTCTTGTAACATGAAGTTTCATGTTACATGTATTATTTTACTACAGCTACTTTTGTCAATTTACTTTTACAATTGGCTTTACAGGCAAATATAAATGTAATAAGAACAAGAGAGATTTTATTTGAACCAGGAAAATTAAAGCCCAACCAAACTTTAGCTTAAATTGAATATAATCCAGGTGCATCAAAGCAAAAGGTGTGCAAAGTCAGTAGAAAAGCCTGTCCCCTGCCAGCATGCTGTAGAGAAGGACCCTTGCTCTCTGTGGGGAAGCAGTGGTCTCTCTGCAGAAGTCCAAAACACCCCTTGAGTAAGACTTGTAGCTCTGCAATTAGCAGAGTTCATGTTCCTTGCTGATTTGGAGATCTCTGGCTCTGATGTTTCATTTTTGAGATAGTATGCTTGCTCTCTACAGTGTAAACGGTCTGGTGGTTGGGTGAGAGTTTTTAAAACTCTCACCTATGATATCATTTTTAGCAGTGACATCACTTAAGCACTCAGGGTTTAAGGCTAGGTTCACACCTAAGTGATTTATCGCACGGATTGGATTGCACGATATCGTGCAAAACACAGATGCACATTGAAGTCAATGGACGCTGTTCACACCTTTTGTGGTTTGTCACGCGGACGAAATTGCCTGTCGCGCGAGAAGGTTCAAGAGCTATTTTCGGGCGGTTGTCGCACGATTTGCATCCCATAGACATCCCATAGACATCCCATAGACATCCCATAGACATCTCTATGCATTGAAAGCGCGAGACAACTGCACGAAAACAGCTCGGCATCTGAATCGCCTAGGTGTGAGTCTAGCCTAAGACTTTTAAAGTGGTATTAAGCTCTCAACTTTTTACAGTAACAAATTTTTACTAAGCAACTTTGCACTGCCCAGCAAAGTATTTCTTTATATTTTTGTCCGGTGATCATGTTCCCACACAGCTGGCTCCAGCTCAGCTCAGCTTCCCTGTACAGTACAAGATCACAAGATGCAGAGCAGTCTCCAGTAGCCTCCATCCCTTAGCTAGGAGGAGGTGGGAGCAAGAAACAGATAACTGGCTTACCCTGCTATGTCTGTGTGTTGTTGGAGACACACACAGCTTACTAGCACACACAGGGGTGGCTCTATAGGACCCTGCAAGGAAAGGTAGACACAATAAAACAGTATATCGGTTCCCGCACTCAGGGGACCAGCTGACCCTACAGGAATATAAAACTTTTAAACACCAAGGAGCAACATCCACTGTAAGTGATTTAATTAGTGATTTTAATATCACTTTAAGTGTATTTTATTAAAAAAAAAAAAGCATTGGTTGCCCACAGCAACAAAAGGGATTCCAGGCATCAATTTGATTTGTCAGCTTGAACACGAAAAGTAGAATAACATTTTTTCTTATGGAAAACTAGATGTGTCCTTTTCCCAACTACCAGCTGCATGTACCACAATCACTGTGATATGAAACAGATGCTGAGCAGTTTCCTATAATCTCTGCATGTTGAATGCATTCGGAAGCTTCAATGGTCCATTTTCATTTTCTTTTCTTTTTTTTAAATTACAGGACCGCTTATTTTTTGTGATGGAATTTGTGAACGGTGGTGACTTGATGTTTCACATTCAGAAGTCTCGGCGGTTTGATGAAGGCCGCGCCTGCTTCTACAGTGCAGAAATCACCTCTGCCCTCATGTTTCTTCATGAGAAAGGTGTTATTTACAGGTAAGCAGTCAAACAATGGCCAAACCGCCACGGGCTCAGGAAGTAGAGCAATGCATTGCCCATGAGTACAGGGGGGTTCTTCCTGCAGCCCTCATCAGCTTGAGGTCAATTCTCCTATTACTGTATGTTTTAAAGTATTGTTTTTGTCTACATTAGTGTCTATAGATGTAATTGGGGGCAGACATATTTGCTCATCACCGATTGTGGGCTCTGCTTTATTATTCACAGTGCTATGTAGTGGTTGTGCTTTACTGCTTCTTCTTACAGTGCAAATCGCTTTGTAAAAAAAACATATAATTCCCCATGTGGCTGATATGTTAACAGTTATGAGACCCTGTTGCCAGACCATCCATTTTAACAAACCTTTTCCCCTAAGATTTTATGTGCATTTAGCCTATTTTATGCATATTACCTCTAAAAGCTTCCCATGTGTAGCCATCCAATAGCTCTGAGACCCTGGACACCCTGCTGGGTGACGCCATGTTGGATGTGATATCAGCTGACCCAGCAGACTCTGAGGTGTCACTCAATTGACACTCTATTGCAACCTTTCTCAACCAGGGTGCTGTGGCACACTGGGGTGCCTTGTGACTTTCTCAGGGGTGCCTTGAAATTTTGTGATGGTAGGAAAGGGAACTCTGATGTAAAAGAAAGGGGAATCTGATATGAAAGGGGGCTTTTAATATAAAGAAGGAGCTCTGATGTGATGGGAAGATTCTGATGTGAAAGGAAGAGGGTCTGATCTAGAGATGGGGCGGGTCTTGATATGAAGGGGGGCTCCTAATATGAAGGGGGGAACCTGATATGAACGG